CTCCCAGAGTGCTAGGATTACAGGCGTGAGCCACCGCGTCCGGCCCAGCTGATGGCAATTTTTAAAAATCCAGTTAAGCCAAAAAATCTCAAAATCCTCATGGATTCCTTTCTTTATCTCACTCCCCGCTTTCAATCAGACAGGAAATTCTATGTTGAGAAAATATCCAGGGTCCAACCTGTTCACCTGCACTACTTCCACCTTAATCTGAGCCACCCTCTCACCTGGGTTACAGCAACAACCTCCTAATTGGTCTCCCTGAGTCTACCCCTGCTCCTAAAGTCTATTCTCTATACGTCAGCCGGAGCGGGCCTTTTCTCAAAGAAGGCCTCAAAGGACTCCTGCCCAAAGTCCTGCAGTAGCTCCCTGTTACTCTCAGAATAGAAGCCAAAGTCTTTACAGTGGCCTGTAAGACCCTAGATGACCTGGCCCCCTATTATGTCTCTGATTTTACTGCTCTCCCTACCTGCTACCAGGCCTGGGGACTTTTCCCTCTGTCTACCTGGCTCTTCCTTCAGAAACCTGCATGGCTCACTCCTTTCCCTCTTGAAGTTTTTGCTCAATGTTAATCTCCTCTTCAGTGAGGCCTATTCTTATTACTCATTCAAAATTTTATTCTTCCCTGTGCCCATTCACCCACATCCTGGTACCCCTGATACCATTTAACCTGCTCTACTTTCTCTTTTTCTTACATACTACTTGTCATCTTCTAATAGATCATGTGAGTTTTAAATTATGTTTATTTTTTATTGTCAGTCCTCCTCTCCTACCAGTTCCCAAAATACATAGAATGAAAATTTCACAAAGGTGGGGATCTTTGTTTTGTGCACTCTTACATCCCAAGCATCTAGATTAGGAGATGGCAGATAGTTGATCCCCAATAAATGAATTTTTAGTCTTGTTTGTCAAAGTGTATGTGTATATATATGTATATCATATATATATATAAAAAGGTGTACATTTGGATGAATTTTCACAAACTGTGCAGAACATGTAAACAAAAACAGAAACTTAACTAGCACCCCAGAAGCTGCACTAGGGCCTCTTCTATTCACTGCCCACCCCCAAGGCTAACTACTATCCTGACTTCTACTAGTAACAACGTAAGTGAGTGTTACCTATTCTTGTACTTTATACAAACAGGATTGTATAGTAAGGGTTCTTTTGTGTCTGTCCTCTTTTGCCCAACATCATTTTTTTGAGACAGGGTCTCACTGTGTTCCCTAGGCTGGTCTCAAACCCCTGAGCTCCAGCAATCCTCCCACCTCAGCCTCCCTAATGGCTGGGATGACAGGTGCACACTACTGCGCCTGGCTTGCCCAACATTATATCAATGAGATTCATCTATGTTGTTGTGTGCAGTTGTAGTTTGTTAATTCTCATTGATGTGTAATAATAGTACATCGTGTGACTATTACCCAATTTATTTATCCTGAGTGAATGAATGATTTAAGCCCCAGATTCTTTCTAGCTTTCTTAGTGTCACCAGGGTTGTTGTAAGGACTAAATGAATTAATACATGGAAAACATTTTTCATTATTTTTTTTAAGGCTAGTCAAGTGAAACAGTGGGAGTGGGGAAGCAAAGAAATCTGTAGGTGATTGTGATCAATTAGTCATAAACACCACTGCACTTAGACCAGCCTGGAAAGCATTAAGAAGGGTATTTGGTACATAGTAGGTGCTCAATAAAAGTTAGCTACTAATTTCATTGTATTTAGATATTCAGTTTATTCAATGTTTATATTTAGCAATGATCTTTTCTTCATCTGAAGTCCTATGCAGTTACTGTAGGTGTATAGGAATCAGCAAGCAGGTTGCCTCCCTGGCTTTACCATTGAAAAGGGCCACCATGGGAGGCCCCAGTGGCTAGATCTGTCCTAATTACATGAAACAAGCTGGGCTAATCAGATTCTTTCTTTCCAGGGAGTCAGGAAATCTGAAGTAGTGGCCAGAGACCAGTTTGCTAGAGTTGACTCATCTGGACCCCTTGTGGGAGGAAAGGTCTGGCTTCATCAGAAGCCCTGGGGCTTTTAGGCTCTTGCCTTCCCTGGGGTTGCCCAGTCATCCCTTTCTGTCATTCAGAGATCCTGTGTCCCCATTATCTGCACACAGTAGCCTCCCAGTACAACTTCCTTTTCCCTTCATTAAATAGACTCATTTTCTGTAGCTTATCCTCAAAAGGACCGCAATGATGCATTTAACTCTTAAAATGATCAGGCCTTAGAGTATTGTGAATCCTTTGTTTTGTTCAATAACACAAGTTCTTTCATTCATCCATCTGTTCATTCAAGTTTTAAACATTATTGAAGGCTTATGATGTGTAGGCATGATAGTGTAGGTCATTTTATCCCTATTTTCAGATAAAAGCCTCAGAGAGGCTGAGTAATTTGTCAAGGTTACAGAACTTATAGCGGTGGAGAATGTTAGTTCAAGGTATTCCTCATTCTTCATGAAAGCTACCATGGGCCTTGATAATATTCTTTTTGTCTGTACATGTCTTTTTGTCCTGCCTTAATTCCTTGAGGTCAAGGCTGTCTTCTACAGCTGGAGTCCTTCTGGGTGCACAAAGACATCTGCTACCGTAGATGCACTACAGAATTGTTGATGGGTTGTTCACCTGGGCAAACCCTTGCTGCCCTTCCCTCAAAGAAATTTCTGTCCTTCCCAAACCCAGGGGAAAAAATCCCCCAAATAAAAACCAAGCTGATTTGATCTGACAGGGGAGGATAATTTATTTAATTCAGTTTGACTCTGGCTCACAATTCTGTCTTCTTTTTCCATGTCCCAGTCATTAGAAGCCCCTTCAGTCCCGCCACACCCCCTTTCCCCTCAGATCAGGGCAACTCAGAGATAGCTTTCTTGGCTGGGGGACCAATGGGCTTTTCCTGTTCTCTTGCTTTCTTCTCATACATCAGGATCCTGTTTGAGACAGGAAGAGACACAGGGATCAGGGAACGCTCCTTTCAAGGGAATAAATCATAGGCTGAGGGTGGGAAGAGAAGGAAGAGAGCAGGGGTGAAAGTGTGGGAGCTGTGGGGACCAGGACCAGGGGAAGGGGGTGGGGATGAGGATGGGACCTTGGAAGGGTCTCTCTTAGATTAGAAGAGTGGATGCTGAGGACTGTGTAGAAAAGTTGAGCCTGGAGGGAGGGGTGGGGGGAGGATAAAATGGGTAAGTATAGAGGAGGTTGGAACTGGACCCTCACATTTTTAGGATGGCAGATCTCTTGCCCAACATCATCCTGAGAAAGTCAGGGTAGCTGAACGTCTCCCCAGAGCCACTGGACACCTCTCCAATTAGTTTCTTTAGCTCTAGGTGAGTCTTGGGGACCCCAAGTTTCTCCAGCATTCGCTTCAGGGACATGATATCTGGAGGCAGGATGGGGGTGGAGAAGAGGAGGAATCCCTCACTCCCTCCTCCCACCTCCACATTCCCATTCCCCTTCCTCCTTCTCTGGTAGGTGGGCCCTCCCAGACCATGGGGATGGAGCACTAGGAGAAACCCCAGTCTTCCTAGGTCTGCCCACTCCCCCAAATCACCCTTTTCTCACCGATATCTCCATTTCCATTCAGATCAAACTGCATGTATTTCTCTGGGTGAGGGGAGAGAGCAGAGAGGGTGAATGCTGGTGGGAAGGTCTCTGGCAGGGGTTGAGGAGGGGTTGCTGATCTAGGGCTGGGGGGAAGGGGAGGAGGAGGCGTAGGTGGAGGAAGCAGGGTGGGGGAGTTGAGGGGCCCTGTTAGGGTGTAAGGAACTAGAGGGGGTGCTGAGAGGGGCAGGCCAGGGAACGAGACCACAACATTTGGGATGGCAATAAAGGCAGGCTCTCTTCTTCCTACCAGGAAAGTAAATTTTGTGTCCCTGCTGTCTCCGCCCAGTTCTTGTGGAAATCTTACTCCCCCACCCCAATCCCCTCTCCACCCCTACAGCTTTCCCCTCACCTTTGAAGGCTTCCAGTTTGGAGGGCAGATCCTCATCACTGCTATATTTGGGATCCTCCAGGAATTGCTGTTGGGGGATAGTAAGAGCCAGGGTAGGCCCTTCCTGCCCAGACGACACCCCCCAGGCTCTGCCCCCTTCCTTTTACCTTGTTGATCTCATCCAGTCTCTCTTCCTGCTGGGCCTTCAGCAGTCCGAAAGCTTTTCCTCCTGCGGGGGCACAAAGGTTCATCAATCCTCACCCCTCCCTTCTTCTCCTCGCCCCATGCCAGCCCAGGGACATCCAGAGTCTGCACCAAGGCCAGGTCTGCCCCTCCTTGCTCGCCTGCCTTTCCTGCTCCTGCCTCTTCCACCCTCCCTACCCTGCAAATCTCTGGTCTTGCTCATAGCTCAGCAGATGCTGCTGGAGGTGGGAGACAGACCAGGCTGGCTCTGTCTGTCTCAGCACTCGCACTCTCCTCTGCCAAACTTCCCCTTTCCCCTCATTCCCTCCTCCTCTGCCTCCCAGGCTTCACTTCCCCATCAGCTTCTGCTGACACTAGCACCCCAAGAAGAAGGGGGAGCTGGGTATAAAATGGAGATGAGAAAGTAACATTCTCCCAAATTCCTCTCAAATGAGAGTCCAGTGCGTAATGAAATAATAGTTTGCTAAGCCACTGGAGGTGTAGGGGAAGAGCGGCGAGACCCCAGGGACATTTATTCTCGGGAACAAAGGGCCTTTGAACAGAAATATTTCTGAGCACCTACCAGGCTTTCCACCCTAACACCAAGGTTCAGGTAACCATAAGACCTTGCATTTTGTCAGATTTCCTGAGTCTGGGCTGGCGGGTATGGATAGGGAGCCCAGAAAGGGCTGACTGAATCTTTGAACACTGTGGATGGGGGAAGAATCAAGTCTGCTGGCAGCTCCCAGAGGTGGTGGCAAGACGGGCACAGGGCCTGGAAAGGGAGAGAAAGCTCACTCCCAGCCCGTCAGCTCCAGGGAGACCCTTAGAAATATGGAATCGTCTAACAGAAGACTCATCTTATCTCCTTTGAAATCTTTAGTGAAATCTATGGAGATCAGGAATTAGAGAATTTTCTGTTTGTTTGTTTTGAGACAGGGTCTTGCTCTGTTGCCTGGGCTAGAGTGCAATAGTGTCATCATAGCTTACTGCATCCTCCAACTCCTGGGCTCAAGGGATCCTCCTGCCTCAGCCTCCCGAGTACCTGGGACTACAGTCGCGAGCCACCACACCCAGATAATTTTTTCTATTTTTCTTGTAGAGACGGGGTCTCTCTCTTGCTCAGGCTGGTCTCTAACTCCTGACCTCAAGCGATCCTCCTACTTTGGCCTTCCAGAGTGCTAGGATTATAGGAGTGAACCACCTCGCTGCCTGGCAGAAATTAGAGAATTTAAGTAGATTCTTTGGAGGAACTGAAAGTGGTACTGAAAGAGACATTTTTGGACATGAGAGCCAGGGAGTGAGGCCGACATCAGCTTTGTGTTCCGCCGTGTACTCATGCACGTGTGCGTGTTCGTGCAGCGTGAGGGCTGGCGACCGTGTTTCACAGAGTGGCTGATAGCCTCTGATACATGCCCTATCCAAGCATGACATTTTTCCCTCAGCCACGGCTGGCTAGTCACTTCCCACAGAGGTGAAGACAGCACATCCGCCTCACTGAGAGGTCCTTGTCCAAACTCCCGACCCAGGGCTCCATCCAGCCTGCCCCAGCACTGATGCAGACCCTTTCTCTCTCTCCTCCCTGCATCCTATTTCCTCTTGTGCAGCCCGGAGTTTTCACTTCTCACCGCCCTCTCCCTGACCTGGGCAGGCGGCAGAGATGCAGGAGTGGACTCTGACTTGTTTTTTTTTTTTTTTTTTGAGACAGAGTCTCACTGTGTTGACCGGGCTAGAGTGCTGTGGAGTCAGCCTAGATCACAGCAACCTCAAACTCCTGGGCTCAAGCGATCCTCCTGCCTCAGCCTCCCGAGTAGCTGGGACTACAAGGCATGCGCCACCATGCCCGGCTAATTTTTTCTGTATATTTTTAGTTGTCCAATTAATTTCTTTCTAGTTTTAGTAGAGACGGGGTCTCGCTCTTGCTCAGGCTGGTCTTGAACTGCTGAGCTCAAACAATCCACCTGCCTCGGCCTCCCAGAGAGCTAGGATTACAGGCGTGAGCCACTGGGCCCGGCAGACTCTGACTTCTTGACTTCGCTTTATTGAGGCACCCTGTCCCCCTGCAGAGAGAGCTCAGTGCCTGCTGGGGGGAATTCATTTCTTTATTCATACATTCATTCAACAAATGTTTGTTGAATGCTTACTATATGCCAGGCATGCTTCTAGGCCCAGAGAACCCAACAAATGAAAACTCTTATTCTCAGGGTCAGCCTAATTGGGGAAGGCGGACAATACAAATAAATAAGTATATTAAAGGTGATAGGTGCCTGTGGAGGAAACAAAAGTAGGGAAGAAGGATCGGAGTGCTGCCGGGGGACTGCAGTTTTAAATAGGGTGGGTGGTCAGGCAAGGCGTCTCTGAGAAAGTGATATTTGAGCAAAGATTCCAAGGAGGTGAGGGAACAAGCCATGTGGATATATGGGTAAAACAGAAAACCACTTCTGGCTCCTGAAGTGGAGTAGGTATCACTATGGCTGTTCCTGTTGAATCCAGAACTGTAGCCAGACGTGGGACTGGAGGACAAGCAAGAGGTGCTGACCGGGTCCAGAGATCCCGAGGAGTAGGACGAGGAAGAGGAAGAGGAGGAATTAGTGGATCCCTAACAACAGTGAGACAGCGATGCATGCCGCTGGAGAAAGGAGGGACAGCCTGGCCGCAGCTGGAGCTCTGTGATGAGCATGTCCTGATCACAGACGGGAGAGCAGTCTGCACTGAGGAGCTCTTTGACTTCTTGCACAGGGACCACTGCATGGACCACAATCTCATTACAGCTTGAAATCAATGTACTGACTCATCCACCCCAGCTTCCATCCCCTGGGTATCAGGATCTTTCCTTGTGGTTTCAAACATGCCACTTGTTTCTAATTTGTGTAACTATAAGTTCATGTGAACCTTATGGATTCTGGCTTGAGCAAGTAGCTTCTATGTAATTAGCAGTGATTCCATCTTAATAAAGTCCTGTGATCTGCAAAAAGGAAAAATACACTGTTTTTCTTTACACTCACAACATTTATATATTCACAATGGAATATTATTCAGCCATCAAAAAGAAGGAAACCATGTCTTTTGCAGCAACGTGGCTGGAACTGAAGGCCATTGTCTTCAGTGAAACAACTCAGACACAGAAAGAGAAATACCGCACACTCTCACTTGTAAGTGGGAGCTAAATACTGTGTATGCACCACAACAAAACAGAACGTGGGACAACGGACACTGGAGACTCAAAGGGATGGGGAGTGGGAGCAGGGCGGATGGTGGGAGGTTGCTTGGTGGGTACAATGTGCTTTGCTCCAATGATGGATGCACTGGAGGCCCTGACTTCACCACAGTGTGACATGTCAATGTAGCAAAATTGCATTTGTACCCTATAAAGTATACAACTAAAAAAATACAAATAAAACCAAAATAAATTTACAAATTAAAAAAAAGCAATAACACTTCACTTCTCACACCAAAATGTGTGTGGGCTTCTCCCACACCAACCAATTCTGCAATTCTTGGTGGATACTGACAGCATGTTCTACAATTCGACTAAATTCTGACACTTTCTACCCAGAGTTATTGTCCAATCCCACAAGTTAAAGGTCTCAGTCCCACAAGATTACAAAGTTGCCCCTACAGTTTTTTTTTTTTTAGAGACAGGGTCTCCCTCTGTCACCCAGGCTTGAATGCAGTGGCATGATCATAGCTCACTGCAGCCTCGAACTCCTAGCCGCCATGCCTTGCCTGTCCCCACTTCAGATGTCAATCACAAACAAATTCAAGCCTCCAGGACAGACCAGCCATAAATCAGGGGTTCCTATGACTCCCTACTATGGTTCAGTAATTTGCTAGTACCTTTCCAATAGTCCCTGAAAAACATTTTTTTCTTTTTGCTAGAATGCTGCATAGAACTCAGAGAAATATTTAACGTTTACTGGGTTATTATAAAGCACACATCTCAGGAACAGTCAGATGGAAGAGTTGCATAGGCCAAGGTATTGGGGGTGTGTGTGTGTGTGGAGCTTCCACGCCCTCTCTGGGCATAACACCCTCCGGACACCTCCATGCATTCACCAACCTGGTGGCTCTCCAAACCCCATCCTCTTGGGGTTTTTGTGGAGGCTTTATTATGCAGGCATATTGATTAAATCACTAGCCATTGGTTAAAAGTCAGGGGGTGGAGCTGAAAGTTCTAACCCTGTAATCACACAGTTGGTTCCCCTGACAACAGCACCCCTCCTTAAGGGCTTTCCGAAAGCCACCTTATTAACATAAACTCAGGTGTAGTTGAAAGGGGCTTGTTATGAATAGCAAAAGAAACTCTTTTCACCTTTGTCACTTAGGGAATTATGAGGGGTTTAGGAGCTGTGGCCTGGAACCTGGGTAGAGACCAAAATACATATTTTTCTTTTCTTTT